TTCTCGAAGCAGTGTCAGCTGGCATGCTAGTTGTTGTGGCAGCAGGAAATGACCACTCAGATCTGGACACGGAAGAATACTATCCTTGTTCCCTCAGCGGACCCTATACGGACGGTGTTATATGTGTGGCTGCTTCAAATGGTACAAGAATGCAGTTGGACGACGAAAGCAATTTTGGTTCAGCTGTTGACATCGCCGCTCCTGGCTACCAAATACTGGCAACTACTCCCACTGGAAAGTATGGCAAGGGTACAGGTACCTCAGCGGCCGCGGCCATCGTTGCAGGTATGGCTGGAATGCTCTATAGTCTTGAACCTTCTCAGCATGCTAAACTGACTCCAGGTTATATCCGAAGTATCATCAAAAATACGGCCACGCCAGGTGTGATGGATAGCAAAGGGGGTAAGGTTCTCACTTTCGGCCGCGTGAATGCTGAGGCGGCTGTACGAGAAATACTTAAGAAGTAGAAGATCGCTCTCATCAAGGTTTTGTCCCAATGATGACCGAATCACCCCCGAGTAAACTTCATTTATTTTCATTAGTCATTATGAGTATGTGATTTGACATCATGCATCACAGTGATTCTGCTCCAGCTGAGCTGTCGACTTACGTTTCGCTTAATCCGCAAAGTATCAACTCATATTCGCGGCGAATAATTCGCCCCGCGAATAACTACACTCCAGAACTCCATCGCTTGTGTTTTTTATACAATGTATTATAGTTCATGGAAAAATATATCTTACGAGCAAGTCAGTTAACTATGCAACTATGGAGAGTCGAATTTGTATCTTCGTGTGACACGAATCGTGTCAGACTTTCTACTGCTCATCACGCTCTCTCCAAGAAATTATTCAGCGCGTGGAATGCGCTTCACGCAGACTCTGCGTGAAGCGATAAATGAAGAAGCTGATAAATCGGTGCTCTGCGTCGTAGAGCACCGATTTATCAGCTTTTTCTCCACCCTCGATACGTGCCACTCATACACTATCAATGATTAGTCTCTTACGTTTCATGTGTAACGGCACGGGTTGCCATCCGATATTGAGTACACCGGAGATCACTTACAATGGTCGCCACCAAAAAGCTCGCGAATTCTTACTGTAAGAATCTTACATAATCCAGTTGCAGCATGACGGAGAAATCGAGCAAATAACTTCTCGCTAACAACACGGCGCTTGAGCCACAGACATCACTGATGTCTGATGGCTGATGTCACATCAGCCAATTAACTCGGCCTCTAAGAGGCCGTTGCATGCCCTTGCTCTAAGATAGACAGATAATTCTAGGTATTAAGTTTGTACTGTTAGTCTCTGACTACCATTTGGGACGGTTTCGATCCGTTACCCACAGCTCTAGTAGAGCTGCTCAGAGCAGCCTGCTCTACACTTTCTGCATCGTTAGCAGTAATTGACTCATAAAAAATGAAACCTAATGAAGAGGGACATAGAGGCCTTGAAGCAGTATGAGCGTATCAGCGAACTTCGTTTCTAGTACGAACTTCGTTCAACGGAGTAACTCATTTCTAGTAAGTAACTTCTCGAGGTCGAACAGGATTCCTGTTACAGGAATCCTCGAACTTCTCAGATGAATCCTCGAATCCTCGAGAATCTTTATGCGGCCTTTCACCTCAACCTCTGTCTTTCTATTATCGACCTCGTCTCGAAACAGGAGTCTATCACACCGTATAATTCGTGGACGCCCCACAGGTGACTCTCCAGGCTTCGATCTCTTTCAGAAGCGCCCTCCTACAGAACCTTGATTGAGTTATCACGCACCAACGGTAAGCGATGGATTAAAACCTGGAAAATTTATCAAGGGCGAA